CAGCGCCGTCACGATTCGCTTCAACTGATATTGTTGTCCGTTTTTCGCGTCGGATTTGATGCACAATTCCACCGGCTATGTTCTAAAACAATTGGTTCATGCTTTCAGCTGTGCACTATCGAGTTATGGAGCACGTGGGAAGTTTGGAGAGCACTCAAGAAGCTAGAGTTTCCCTCGGCTATCGCCTCGGGCAACTCTTACGCTTCTTTTCGTGTTCTCCAAACTTCCCGCGTGCTCCATAACTCGATAGTGCACGCTAAAGCATGAACCAATTGTTAATTTGCATGTTCTCCACACTAAACATTTCTATGCTATTTTCAAGGAGAATGTGGCTAACAATCAATAGCTTTTTGACCTCACGACCATTTTCTTAGTTTATGACTTTGATGTGTGATACTGTGGGGAGAAAGTAGATGCTTATCACCCCAAGGGGTAAAAGGATTAAGGAACAAATCCCGTTATGTTTGGCCGTCAGTGATAACTATGGTGAAAGCACTACGTCAAACGCATAAACAAATGTTTCAATGAGATAGGAGCGCTGACCCTGAAGAGGATTTCGAAATAATGGCTGATTAATAGTACCCTTTACTGTTTTATCGGAAATTTTATTGGTTGATTTATACATTACAAATAAGTCTGCTGCATGCATGAGACATCACTACAAAAATAGATCAAGTAACAAGAAAAGAAACTGTGTTTTATTCTGCATTGTGTATTTCGCTGCATTCAACAAGTTTCAAATATAAACTGTGCTCAATGATAACCATCCTTCTTCATCTACAGTGAGCTAGTCTGTCCGTTAAGACCTTTCTCGTCTTCTTTTTGACTACAGAGGCAGTCTATGTCAAAGTTGCGCAGCAGTCAAGCATAAATAAGTATGATTTAGAAGCCGGGTGCTGTAAACACGAATACACAAAGTACCATCTTCAGTGAGAGTGTTTAAAGTACCGTAAAGTTTACGGCTAAAGGTAACAGGTCAAAACTGACCTTTAGTTACACATGCCTGTGCCTGCCGTCAGCCACGGACATCACCGCTAAATATAAGTGTGTAAAGCGTCGGAGAAACTACTCCCCAACAATGTTTAGTTTGTCTAGTAATTCTCTGGAGAGCTTTAGAACAGAGGCAGCGAATGTAATTTTATTTCCTGTGTCGATGTTCGTCACCGGTATGGTTGTTTTCTGGATCCATTGTTCATTTGCCAGGTGAAAATATTCAACACTCAGTTCAGTTCGGCCGTTCCGATTTCTTCCACCCAGTACGTACAGCTTTCCATTCAGACAAACCATACTGCCGTTAGAACGTGGAACATTCAAGTTCGCAATACATTGCCATTCATTGGTCGACGTAGTGTACATCTCGCAAGTTTGTAATTTCCCCCTCCTGCCTGTTCCTCCAGCAACAAAAATTTTTTCTTGAGAAGCCACTCCAAAAGCTTCGCTTCTTTCTTCTAGCATGTCGGCGATCTCCTCCCACTTGTTCTCAACGGTGTCGAATCTCTCAGCTTTGGCGACGTTTTCCCTTGTGTCTGCACTCACCCCACCTAACAAATACAGATGCCTGTCGGCTGCAACAACGCAAGAACTTTTTCTTAAGTATCCTTGAGATGAGTGAAGCGTCTCCCATGTACACTGCTTTACGTTGTACCTCTTCGCAACAGCTTCCCAGAAGTTAATTTTCAAAGCATAAATTTCTCCATTAAGAACGGCCACCTTTGCAGCATCTGCGCTGAACTTCAGTTCGCACCAAACGTTAAAAAGAGGATCGTATCTCTCTGAATTTGGACCATGGGAAAAGGTAAAAAGCTGATCACGGAATTTTATCATCTGAGTTGAGTGGGCGTTCATGTCCTTCACACCATCTGGTAAGCGCTTCCACAGGTCCTCTTCAGGGAGAAAACAAAAAGTGTACTTGCCACCACGAGCAACAATAACACGCGTATCATATCCCTTTCTCGGTGACATCGGAAGATCATCGTCATCGGTAATAGTAGTCATCTTTGTAGTAGCATCCATAACCAGCTTCACACAAGCCAAATTCTCACGCACTAGTTCGTTTGTCACGATATCCTCCAAACAGTCACGCGACAGAAAACTCAGTCTAACATGAGGAAACAGTTCTTCAAATGCTGCTATACGCTCGCTCTTGCTGTGTTCAACCCACTTCAGTATGATCTTAAAGACGCTGGCTTCCGCTTCCACAGCAATCTCATCGCTTGAAATCCACCTCGCCACCTCCTTAGCCTCCAAGCTCAGAAATTCATCCATTTCTCCTACGGAGTCGAAATTTTCGTGGATGAATTTCTTGCTGTTACGTTTTAGCTCGACACAATCGTATTTCTCAGCGATGTAAAAGGTCGATATGCAACTTGAATTGGACATTTCTCCCTCTAGAAATCGCCCCGAAACAGTTTTCAAACTCGGTATCATCAGATAATTCCCTGTGGCGATCAGTTCCTCGGCATTCTCCTGAGTTACTTCCACTGTTCCAGTGTAGATGAAT